CGTCTCGGTATTGCACGGGGTCAGTTGCACTCACGTGGCGTAAGGAACCCCGAATATAACTATTTATCGATATATTTTTTTTTTTGTAACTTGTGTTTAGTTTCGTCTTATGCTATGTTTATATATAACTGTTTTTTCCCTACGTCGATGGCGAGTCCTACAAGCCGCTTTTGGCTTTTGGCAGACTTGCTTTATTTTGTATTGATGTTTCATATTTTGCAATAATTATTATTATTATTGTTATTATTGTTATTATTATGTTGAGAAATTAGTGCGCAGGATCTACTGCTCTAATAGTTTCTAGTACGTCCTTCACAAAACGCAACGCGAGAAGCATATGCAGACGTAAGGTTATGATGGAAGCGGCGGATTCGTGCTGATACTAACGTACGCCGGTGTATATCGTCAAAGATATCTGCACGCAATTGTTCTCGGAATTTAATGCACAGAATGCAACGGTGACAGCCTATACGTTTCGTCCGATAAATAGCTCTTCAACTTTTCCTGCCATCTTCGGCTGCCTTCGTCTTTTGTTCTGATTGAAACCTACGATCCAACGTAAATGGGGCACGTACGCTTAATGCAATATATCTTCGAGTGAACCGAAACGTTACGTTAATTAGGCCACACACATAGAAAGAAAAGACCATAACAAAAGCGTCACAGGCATCTCCAATCAACGCGGCAGTCGCAGCAGTCAGTATTACGAGCTACATCACCCGCTCAAACGCAACTGAGAACGGCTGATGCTGCAACAATCGCGAGCGAGAAACGCCGCTGGCTCTTCTTTCTTTGAGGGAGTAGTACCGCGTTCGACTGTGTAAATAGGCCAACGTTCGAACAACAGGCCGCTCCCATCATAGCCTCTGTAACACACGCGAACTATTTATTTTCCCTAGAAGAAATAAAAACAAAAAATACCATCGGTGCCCGCAGACGTTTCGATGTCTCGCGTACCTTCTATGTACACAGATACGCACACACACGCTCGCACGCAACAAAGCATCCAGTTCCTCTAGCGGCTCCGCAGTTGATGCATCTGCAGCGACTGGAAAGAAAGCTTAAGCAAGAGCAGCTCGCGGAGCCAGGCCCCGTGGATATTCATGACCAGCGTTGTTCCATCGCCGGCTTGGGTCAAAGTCGTTTTCGGGTGCGTTGAATGCTCATTAGCTCTCTCGCCAAGCAGGGCCGAGGGCCGCGCAGCGAAAAGCAAACGAGCGGGCGCGGCCCACGTCTTCTCCCGTATAGACCGTACCAGGACCGTGCGGAGCACGGATAGGCCTAAGGACGACTCCGCTTCCAGTGCGCGTTCCGCACCGTCGCACAGCGGCGTCCGATGCATCGATAATTCAGGCAGCGTGGCCAATGCGACGCGAAATGGGAACCCAGGCCAGGTCGCCCCCTAATGCTCTGTCGCCGTCCCTGCAGACTTCTTGAGACTTGTCCAGAAATAGCGACCACGGTGGCCTTATCGTCATCGCGAGCGACACGGCGTCGTTCCTTTGGTTCCGTTGGTGGGTGTTGTGTCCTCTCGTTGCCTGCTGTCGTATTATTATACTGTTCTTTTTAAACTTTTCTTCCTCGCTCTCGATGTGTGGGGCTGTTTTTGGTCGCGCGGCTCGTTTTGGTCCCTGCTCCAAGTGGGTCCGCCGTGCTCTTGTAACGCCCGTTGTCTGGCGGTAAGACTACGCCGGTTAATATTTTTTTTTTCCTTTTAGATTTCTTCTTTTTTTTTTTTTTGTTACTATTTTTTTATTTTTTTTTTTGTCTTCTGTTTGAAACACCGGTCGCAACGTACGCACAATTTCGACGCTATTTTGGGACAGGCGAGGCGGTTGAAGAGCCGCGACACGTCGCCCTGTGACTGTGAAGGTCACAGACAGAATGGGAAGGTATCGAAGTCCTATGCGGAGAGCAGGTCGTCTGCTTCGTGCGCAGGAGTTTCGGTGACGTCAGAACGACGCCGAGCTCTGATTGGCTTTGATTAAAAGGATAGTGGGTAATCCTATAGACCTTTCCAAAAATCGCCTTCTGCGCGCTGCCATCTTTGTCTGCTGGGCTGTGGAACGCTTTCTGAGCATGCGCTGTTGGTCTGCTGTGCGGTATATCGTATGCTGCGCATGCGTCCACAGCTAAGTGACTCAGCATTTTCGGCCCGGACGCTTCGTTCGAGACTGCCGCTGGAAAGATCTATATGCTAGATGCCTTAAAACCCACCCACTTTTTTTTTCTTCAAGTCAGTCAATAAAAGTTTGGCATTCTGACATCACCGAAACCCCTGCACAAGAAGCAGGCGAACTTGCATAGTCTCCGTGCCTACTCATAACAGAATCAGACGCATCGTCCGTATACTTCACTTTACCATCGATCCGAATGAACCGGTGTTTTATGATATTTTTGAAGATAACATAAAAAAGCGAACCGCGACACTTTTTTTTTTTTTTCGTTTATTGGGTGGGTTCTAGAATAAATTTAATTATACCTGTTGCAGTAATAGTGCTGGGGTAGCCTAAATAGTATGTAGTTTTTATAGAGCTCTGCTCACCCCAGTCCTAGATGTCTGTGTATTGCACACTAATTGTGAAGTCTGGCGAACGTGCTCGTGCTTCATGCCTTCTAGACAGAAGATGAGAGTGCATTAATCGGTACGCGTCTACCATTGCCCAGTACTCTGGGCAGTTTCGTAAGTTTAACTGGTGTAGCCGGTATATTGGTAGTCTACGCACGTAATTATTATTTGATGATTTTGATTTTTTGTGACATTTTTTGTTCGAGGCGCGTGCCGTTTGAATTGTGGGATGAGCTCCCCGGCCAGCCAAATTCATTTTTTAAGCCGCTTTGATTGTACGAATGTTTTCCGCTTCGCAGTTTAGAATATGTAGTCACGAACCGTTTTCGAATTTTCCTTGTGGTGACTAAAAAGTGCTCCTTTGTAATTCTGACATAAGACTCGCTGTTAGCAAAACGATGTTGGGTATGCACTCTAGGCATGTGCGAATGGTGGATTTTGAGGTCGAAGAGAATTCGAAGCGAATAGTGGTTTTGGCCAAATATTTTCGGATCAAATATCGAATAGTTTCTACGAGCTTTTCACTATACTGCGCCAAGCCTAAACAAAAACCCATCTGAACACGTAAAGGTTGTTACCTAGCTTTCACTTGCCCATATCTAAGCTACTAATTTTAATCTAGCTATATTTATGGACTGTAACCTCAGAAAATCCATTGCCTACATAAGAATGGCAAGTAAACGATGCGTTTGACATAAAATAAACCTATAGATACCAGCTTTACCTCAGCGATGGGATTTACGAATCATCTTGCTATATGCAAATATCCTTTATTAAATATCGAATTTGGAAAAAAATAAAGAAAGACAATCATGAATGATGAACGTAGACTGCCTAACACATACTCTTTCGGATAATAGCCGCAGTTTAATTTTGAAATTTTCACTGTAGTGTAGACATCACCGTTCAAAAAGTTCCCTTTTTTTTTTTTTTTTTTTTTTTTGCTTTTTACACACATCACACGCGCGCGTACATTATCCCGCTTTGAAAGGGGGCTTTCCTTTTAAAAACGTGACTGCAATATTTGTACGTTTCTAAGTGTTGAACTTGATCATGGCGGGTTGGTCCCGCTGAGCGCGCTCCTTAACAAGCACCGGTGCACTGCGGAGAAGCAGCACCCGCGGAAGCGCGCTTCGCGGGTGGTGTTTCTTCGCAGTGGTCCGGTGCTCGATAAGAAGCGCGCTCAACGGGGACTATCCCGCCGCGGTCAACACTGCGAAAAATTCGAATACCAAAGTTCACCTCGAAGCGAAAGTCGAACAGCGTATTATTCGAAACTACTATTTGAAAATTAGAATATTCGCACAACACTAATGCACTCCGTTTCAATCAGGCTTCACAAATGGGCGAAAGCCAGGATGCCCGTGAGATAATTGAAGCGTCGGAGCGAAGCGCGTGACAGCTCTCCGCAGAAGAAGAAGCGCATCGTCCCGTACGTCCTGTTGCCAAGGGCTGCCGAAGCAGGGAACGGCAGTTGCGAGCGAGCGTGAAGTGCCGCGGCGCACATCGCACTCTCGCTATTCGATGTCGTCGTTTGCACGCGCCATGAGAACACATCTGGCGATTGCCACCGAGCTACCCGACAAGCGGGGCCACGCTGGCACATCCTAGAGTTTTAAGCCGCACGTCGTATATTGCTCGTATACACCGATCGGATCATACAAAAGATAATAATAGTAATAGGTTTATTTTCCAACAAAAGGTACAGTGTTGGTAGGGGCTTCGGAAAAAAGCTGTTTATACAGCTTGACTATATAGTCCTAAGCCCCCATAACTTCAGCAGCTACAAGCAGCGTGCATGGAAAAGAGGAAATACACTGAGAACGCTAAAAAAAAAAAAGATTGAACAGTCGGCAATGAGTAATGTGAAACAAAAGAAAATAAGCGCACACTATAGCAAAACGTCACTTCCATGCATCATTCAAGGCACTACAAAAAAAAAAGTCTGGCATACAATATTTAAGAGTAGACAAAAAAAAAAAAAAAGAAAGAGCACTGCCCCAGATCATTCAAGGAAAAACCACAAAAATAGTCTACGTTAATTAATTGTACAATATACAAAACACAAGCATATTCCCCTTTACAAAAAATGCTCAGAAAATACACACAAAGGCACCGTTCAATCGTGGCCGATCTGCCGAGAGAGTATCATATCCCGCAAGGTACCCACCAATAGCGTGTCAAGTTCTATGTTGTGCATATGAAGGTTGTTAAGGATGGTCGGTGGTGTGTATGCTATATTATAATGGGCGTAATTTGTTCTAAAAAGAGGCACTTGCCAGGGTTGCAGAATGGGCGTTTGGTACGAGTGTAATTTTTTTGTGTTAGATTCGCTATATATTCAAGATTATGTACATGCCGATATAAATAAAATATATATATATATATATATATATATATATATATATATATATATATATATATATATATTTTTACGTATATTTTGCGCAAAGGCGATATCTATACAAATCACAAATTTTAATTACACCCAGTTGAGTAAAAAGTGAATCCATTGGATATTCGAGTGGGACTTTGCTAATAATTCTTGATATCTTTTTTTGCAAAATGAATATTTTTTACAGTTAGTAAAAAGTAGTTGTGCCCCATACTAGATGACCATAGTTTATATGGAAATAAATTAATGAATTATATATTAACAACTTCACCTTAAGTGGAAATATGTGTTTATTACGATATATCAAGCCAACAATGCTGGACAATTTGGATATAACAGACGGTATACTGCACATACACCATACAAAAGACACGGTGTATCATACGAAGACACGGTGGAACTTTCGGGCTCCCTGGACAGCTCGGGAGCGTCGCACTGCGCATGTGTAGAACTTCTGCGCTTGCGCAGTGCCAAGCCCCAGACTGCTTGTTTCGTGTAGCTGTGAAATATGTCTCCGCTAAAAGCGTCATGGTGCCAAGGGACTTCACGTGACGGTGTAACGTCACACGTGGCACGGTGAGTCACCCGACACTGACGTGTCACGTGAAAATGCGCCGTCACGTGACACCGACATCGTGATGTCATGGCACGCGATACCGTTGCGTTATGGTTGCCTGCAGTGTGGTTGCGAGTAGTCTCTGTGGCCGAGGAGGGTATGCACACGGGTCATGCATTCCTGGGTTGGCCTCCGCAGGGGATGCAAACCAGAGGTTTTCGTACTTTGTACGAAAACCTCTGGTTTCGTATAAATCACTGCCAGCATGTACTCTGACGAAGTGTTACAACGTGAAGTGAACCCCCTCCTGTGGGACTTCAGTGATGTCCACTGTGAAGTCACGAGGTAGCCGAAACTCCAAGCAAGATTCGCTACGTGTCATCATGACGTCAGAGGTTACGCCACCGTATTCCATGCTGAGACATCGTGCTGCAGTTCTTTCTTTAATTATTTTACATTGTTTGTAGCAGCGGTTTGTAACTAAATGTTCTGAAATAATAGCATGCCTTGAATATAAAACTCGAGACTGAGAGGTCACAGGGGCAAACGAACGGAACAAAACATCCGTCTTCTTCTCTTTTTTCTTTTTTTTATTGTTATCAACCACAGTATAGTCCTTTATAACCTCATTTACAGCCTCATTTATAATCTCATAAATAGTGCATATTGTTATCTGAAAAAATAACAAACCTTAGTGGTAAAAAAGTAAAACGTATCTGAGCGTTTGTCTGCAATGCACCCAAGCGTGACTCACGCGCGCAAGTGACCGTCTGCGCCGCACTCTAAAAGAAAAACATGAAAAATTATCCGAAATTTTGTACAACTCTTTTATAGAAGTGCAACACGCTAACGCGCGCTTCGTCTTCGGCAGCGTATTCTTGCGCTAAGATGGCTCCCTAAAAAAAAGCAGGCGTGTCGTTTGAAGTTCGCGGGGTAGCGCACATTCACGCAGGCGTCGCCATCTGGCGTACGTATTTACAATTATTTGCTGTGTACGCGAATTGACACATCTTGGCGGGCATCGTTATTTTTACAAATTATCTTCCTGTCACGGCACTAAATTATAAATTTCAGTTGGATAAAAATTAAAAAAGTTCGACAAGTTTTTAAAGATTTGGTCAAGTTGTTGAAGATGACACTGAGCCGCTCAATTTTCATGGCACAAAGCAGACATATGATATGTACCTCTGCCAGACAGCACCTCAAATGCCCATCAACTGTAGTTGAAGTTCAGTGCAAAACACCGTTGTTATAATCTGCCTAAATATACGTTGTGTTCATTGCCAAAATGTCTACATGGATTGATTGCGCGAACAAGGCCAACACGCCTTGACGTTGTAAATGCAGGAAATTAGAACTACGGTGACAAATCTCTCAGAAGTTTCTCGTCATTTGAGAACCGTTATTGCTTGCTTGAGGTTTCTCTTTTGTCCTATTCCCGGTTGCTGCAACTCAGAGCCGCCCAGGCGGACGCCATCTTGATCCGTAGTTCCTCTGCGTGACAAATAAGAAAGCACAAAGCTTAAAATTCCGCCCCCGTGGTGTGAAATCAAATAATCAAATCTGTGACGAAGCTTGTTTATATTTATACTTAATGAAGTGAGCTGTATTTGATAGCTAGCCGTAACGGTGCCAGTGTTATCTGACTCAATCTGATCTTGGAAAAAAAAAAACGCTTTGCGTGCACTGAGAGTACGCGACAAGATAAATTCAAGCCAGCGTCAGGCGCGGATAGGCGGTAGCAAAAACGTAGAGGCGACGTGCGTTAAAGTACATAATACATCCCAAACCATAAAAAAAAACGCGCTGAGTCATTGTGGCGTCGAACTCTCGTCCCCATGTTTTTTTCTCGCACCAGTCCAGTTGTCGCTCGGTCGTTTCAGCTTACTACCAAGGCTTCCCGCGGGAGAAATATTATACACTGCGCAAGTGGCAGTGTATACATGAACTCAACCCTCACGCCACAGCGGAGGCGCTTCCGTGGGCACTGTGCATCCGACGAAAAGGCGAAAAAAAAAAAAAAAAACAGGGACAGAGGAGAAAAATTGCACACAGGACTGCGTGTCCGCAGAAGGCTTCGTCTCGCGCGAATCAGGTTTCTTCGCACGCGCTGCGCCCGCACCAGGTGTGGGCAAACGCGGGTTTGTTCACCGCAAACTACAGCCCCCTGAAACTTCTCACCAGGTCGCAAGGCCAGCGAGAGCACCGCCTCCTGGCGACGCAGACGGGCATCCCTTGCCACCGATGTCTCGAAGGCGAGCAGCATGTACTCTTCAGCCATGACACGCACCAGGTGGATGTGACCTTGGGAGCCCAGCCGAGACGCGGGTGAGTCATCAGAGTTATAGAGGTAGCTTACACGTAGACGCGAGTCAGACCCCTGTTTCACGGGCACTTACCACTCATTCACACTGGAAGCGGATCCGCGTACGCAAAGCGGTTGCGAACGCGGTGGTATAAAGATCCAGTACAATTAATTGCACGCGCACTTGATGTCATCCAGTGCGCGTGAAATCGTAATGGATCTTTATACAACCGCGTTCGCGACCGCTTTGCGAACGCGGATCCGCTTCCAGTGTGAATGAGCGGTTAGAGCTGCCGCTCACACTGCTCCATACATGATGCGGTATACATGTCTGAAGACCGTGTTTGTATGGCCAATGTGACCGCCATACAAGGAACAAACATGCCTCAGACAATGTCTGCAGGATGTCTTTGGTATGCTGTGTTGGAAGCGTGACCGCGGCCTTAAATGCCTTCAAGAGAAATCGCGGCACACCAGCACACTCTGATGGGCACGCGCAGTGTCCAGACCTCGAGCTCATTCACCTATTCTTCAATGAGCTCGTTGAGAAGCACATTGAATTAACCCGAGTCTGGGGAAGAAGAGAAACATCAAAATCGAACATCATAAGAGCATTTCTCTTCTTCCCCAGTCTCGGGTTAATTCAACGTGGTTGATATTCACCTGCGCGCGTGCGCCCTTAGTTCATTTTTGTTATGAAGATCCCCGTTTTAATATTGCATGAATTCATGTGGGACGCCATAATACCATTTCATACGAGTGAGAGGTAAATAATGGGTTTGATAATACGTGCACGTGTTTCGTGTCATATACGGCATTAGGGAACTTTCAGACGTTGAGAGCAACGCACACAAAAGACGATCGTAAAAGAAAGAAACTCTCGCATAGCGCTGCCACCAACGAATCTAAATTTCAGTCGTAGAAGACTACCTTTTTATAGTTTATGATGGGTCATGACCCGGGTGAAAGATGCCGAGTCATTGGGATGCGGACGCATGCGCGGCGTCTGATATTTCGCGAAGAGAGCTTTTGCGCATGCTCAGAACGCACCCCACAGCCCTGTAGACGTAACCGAGTGATGCAGGTGTGCACACCCTGCTAGATTAGCTATCTTGCTTTCATAGCACGTTTTGTTTTCTTTCTTTAAGTCCTTGTGCCGACTGGAGAGTGTCATTTCCGTCCTGTCATCAACGTTGCACCAACTTCCCTTCCGTATGTATATACACCGCCGCGCGTCTTTCTTCGCAACCCCATGTCAACACTGCACGATTTGAAACGAGCGCTTACCGAAACTTGGAGATCCTGAAAGGGTGAGGTGTCTCATGATTGCCGAAAAGAAGAGCATCCAGGAAAGCATGAAGTCCTTGTAGACGTGGCTGCGACTCTGTTTACTCTCACTCGTGATGCAGACATCCTGAAAGTGCGAATAAAGGATGTTTGTCATCACTTATAGTTGCCACTATCCCGCCCAAGAACATAGAGAACGCACCAACGCAGCGTTGTCCATCGCCATGTCCAGCCACTCCGTCAGGTCCTCGACTGAAGCGTGTTTTTTCAGCAGTGAGATGAGCTCAGCCACGCCTGCAGCGAGACGAACGGGCATTAGTGTGTTCTAGGTATCCATCACTTTTATATCCCAAGCATGTTAGAAAACCAGGACAGGTATTTTCTGGTAAGACACAAAGGACGTCACGGTGACATCCTTTGGTGAAGTGCTGGTCGCAACCTGGGACGAAATTGCTTTCAAACTTCAAAGTATTAACTTTGGGCGAAACTGTCACCCTCTCTTGACGACTGGCAACATTTGGCTATGTCCTGCGTTTCAGCTACTTTAACGTCAATTTGCGCACGGAAGAGTTATGCGTATAAACTAGGAAGTATGCCTGACCCAAGGGCTGCGTTGTACGTATAGGAGTTGCGCTCTTTCAAAGGCAACATAGTTTAATAAGCATGCATTGGTGGTAAGTTATTAGAGGTAATCATTTTGAAATTGGTTCCTAAACATTTTGATTGGGTGATGCTGCAATCTCATTGGCTGCTCCGTGATGAGCTGATGGGGCCGGCGAATCAATCAGTGCTGTGACTACCGATGCTTGTAGTTCCTAAGTAGTCAGCAGCTATTGTAAATGGGCAATCTTGATCAATCTCGATCATATTTCGCTTAACGATTCGTCCGTCTCAAGAAAATCCTGGAGTCAGATATAGTCTCAAAGCCTAGGCATAAAAACGTATTTAGCCTTGCTGTATTTAGTTGAATTGGTAGATGCGTGATGGTAGGTTACAGAAGATCTCTAAGGAATCATAAAAGAGACGTACCAATGTCAAAGGTGGTTCTTGAGTCGTCCAGGCAACAAAAGGCTTCCGTCGCGACGTCGTCCAAATCCAGCCCGTTCAGGTCGTCCAAGATGCAGTGCGTGTGGTCGGCGTTGGATAGCACGCTCCGGCAGGACTTCGGATCAACACGTAGGAGAAAAATACCTTGGTCGCCATGATCGGTATTTCACTATTACTAGAGTTAAGTCACAGGTTAAGAATAACAACATAAGCTTCTCCCACAAAAACCTCTACCCTTTCCACTTTAGCAGAGCGAACGGTGGAGAGGAAGTGAGTGGAGACAAGGAGACCGCCGATCACGGCAAGCAGAGAGATTTTTGGGAGATTTTCCTGCTATTTTTAACCTGCAACTAGGAGCATGAAAAAGAAAACACGGAAGCGTTCAAGGTAGAGTTAACAACGAAATCAAATGTTGCGACTTGAAAATGCGCCAATGAATGGATGGACGAGAGGAGAGTAGAGCAGGCAAAGAGGAAGCATTACTTCTAGAGTTTGACATTTTCTATCATACATGTTTCTATAGTCAGTGACAGGTTAAGAAGCCAGTAGATGCTTCGCCCCCAGCAAGCGCTCGTTGCCTTCCGCTGTGCTCTGGCTGTGCGTGCGACAAAGGGTTATCAAAGACAGCATGCTCGCTTTTGACACGATACAAGAGTATGCACCAGATGAAAGCTTACCTGAGCTAGTTTTGTGAACGAGAGCTGACGCTTCAGCACCTTCGTCCATTCTTGCAGAACTGCAATGCGAGGAGTCGGAATGCGATATCTGAGGTCGAGTTTACAACGTCGTTAATAATTGCTGCTTACAAATAACACGAACGATTTCGTCAACTTACATGCGAAATCTTTCGCTCTGACAACGCCTTCTAATGTACTACTTGGGCTAAATGTAAGGCATACTTTGTCTTGAAGCGTAATAAGTTGAACTTGCCGAAACAATATGTTAAAATTCGGTTGCCGGATTAAAAGGTAAGCCATACACTTTTGATTAAACAATTACGACAGGTGAAACTTGACTCTGGTATTACCTTCTGGCTGGAGGCATTCTCGGGCGGTAGAACACAATCTGTAGTGCATACTCTTTCCTGACTGGCGCATCAGGATCAAACTAAATAAATATATAAATAAGTAGCAATAATCCATTCCGGCGTTCGCCAGCCGGGACGAAGCTTTCGTTGCTCCCCGTAGCTCCTGTCAGTTTCGAGTTTTGCTTTGTTTTCTTAACATACGTAATTGAAAATAGGCATAAATTAAGTGGTACTGTCTGTTAAGATAACTCTTTTAAAAATTCAGAGGGCTAATCTTATCAAGAAAGAGAGTAATTTTTGTTATGGGGTGCCTAAAACCGGGAATATCTCAAGCGAGAAGGGCTCGGAACATAAAAATCTGGGTTTGAGAACCCTTAAACAGGCTCATTTAGTGCTTCCTCGATCTCGGGTATTCATTATAAATTTATACCACCTTGCCTGGCTTGTCACTGGAACCAAAACTGTCGCATCGCAGTTAAACTCAGAAAGAAACAGTTTATCTTGTCAGTACCATGCTCTAATTATGCTAACTTTAGTGTACTAGCTGTTGTCGACTCATCTGGTCGTAGAAACTTTGTTCACGACGTGCACGTGTGAATTATAAATGAAAAAAAAAAAAAAAAAAAAGGTAAAGATTGTACCTTGAATTCTACGGTGTCGAACTGGTCCGGGGAGCGTAATGCGGCAGATCCAGTCGGGTAATCCTTCGACGAGGAAGTTGATTTCTCTTTCGTAGCTTGTGTCGACAGTATTGGAGAAAAACAAATATTCAAGCAATCAATTCGTAGCGTAAATTTTAGATCAGACAATTATTAATATTATCTTGAATTACACGCTGCCGTCGCAGTACGAGGTATGAGTCCTCACTTATTGCCATTTCACTCCAGCCACTCTGGCTCCCTAATTTTGAGCGATTAAACTCAGCACAAAGGGCCGGTGTTTGTCGTTTGATGTGTTCTTTCTTATTGCGATGGCGAGTCACGCTAAGTTACATTAATTAAAGTTGACGGTTTCTTTCTCCTAAAGAGGGAACTTGACTTAAACTAATATGATTTGCCTTCAATTTTTTCAAAATAATAAATCATTATATCAACGATATGGTCTTTGCCCGTAACTGTTCTCTCGCTTTCTGCGTTTTTCAGTTTCTCTCTTATACGTCTCACAAATCTACTGATTTCCAAGCTGATCAACTGAATTGCGGAGAACACCGGTAGGACTGGTATAATTGTGCCACGCAGATGTCTCACCTTTCGGGAATATCTTGAATTTCCTTGGGCATCAGGATTTCTTCCATAACCTGTAAAAGTCGACCAATGTCTAGATGCACCCTATTTGTAGGAATTTAGTTCACTCCAATAATTTACATGCACGCGTTGACCAAAATGATTTGCATAACTTTCCCAGTGATAAACGACAGTAGCGTATGTGCCACACTCCAACTGTGGATACATGTTTATGCTGAAAAAGTCTGCAGTCCGACACAACCGTATTGCTCGGGTCAATTTTGTTTAACAAATATATATAGATGGGCCGTTTCATTTGGATTCAGGCAACGAGGTGCAGTCGTTTTTTTGTTTTTTTTTATTTTGATTCAATTTTTTTTTTAATATTTCGTGGCGCATGTTCTAAGAAGAACAATTCTTTTTATTTTAATGTCCTAACATCTTTACTTTCTGAGAAAAAAAATCTCAAAGAAGTGGGAAAGGACAACGAGGTTTTGACGATTGTCGTGTGTGCCATTTTTGAATCACTCTCGATCCCAAAGTAGTCAAAAGAGAGCGTCTATATTTTTTTAGTGTGATATATATGCAAGTAGGTGAAACTACATAACAACTACTACTTATTATTCGTCGCACCAATTTTTGTAAAAATACCCAAACATGCCTCCGCGAACAACTATGACCCAAATTGCGGATCTCTTTCTTTTTTTTTTTTTTTGAGTCGACTATGTTTAGTATCGCTTTTAAAATATTACCACGTGTAGAAATTTTCATTGCCTTCCAAATTAAACAAAGTTTGTGTTTTTATCTTGTACGGGTACTGAGAAATAAATTACGAAACACAGAGGGTTTTCACCGTTCAATTTCAACACTCTGTAAAAAAAAAAAAAAAAAAACCTCTTTGCGCGTTGCGTTTTTTTCACGCCCTTCTTTCAGCCAGAATACATACCGTTAGAGGTATATGCATTGGTTTTGAGTTTTAAGCCTTCAAATATACTAAACAAAGAGCAAGTGCCGATGGTGAGTTTTGACGTGTGGCGTTTCTGAACCACTCTTAATTTCAAAGTATTCAAAAGAGAGCTTTTATATTTTTTTATTGTTATATATATATGCAAGTCGGTAAAACGACATTTCAACTACTATTTATTCCCCAAACATGCCTCCGCGAACAACTGTAACCTAAACTGCAGATGTTTGTTTTTTTTTGTTTTTTTTTTTTTTTTTGTGTCGGCTATGTTTGGTATTGCTTTTAAAATAATACGACGTGTAGAACCTTTCATTGCTTTCAAAAGTGAGCAAAGGCTGTGCCTTTATCACGTACGAGTACTGAGAAATAACTTATGAAACAAGGAAGGTTCTCACTTTTCGTTCAATTTCAGCACGCTGTATAAAAAAAAAGCAAAAAACAACAAAAAAAAAACATTTTTAATTTTTTTCTTGCTTCTTTGAGATATTGTTTCTCAGAAACTAAAGATGTTAGGACATTGAAATAAAAAGGATTGTTCTTCTTGGAATATGCGCCACGAAATACAAAAATTTGGAGCAAAATAAAAAAATACGACTGCACCTCGTTGCCTGAATCCAAATGAAACCGTCCATATATATAATTAGGAAGCATTACGTCCGGAGGCTTTAATGTGATCAACCATTGAGGGCGTTCGTCCCGTCCTTTTCTTCTACTCGTATTTGCAGTTGTTGTTCTGTTTTCTCGATTTTGTCATCAATCAACACGCCTGCATCGCCACCTAATACAGTTCGTGTTATATATATTGATCTATTTTAGGTTTCAGAGTGCGATCTCATTGGCGAAATCGAGAATAAAAACAAATGTTTGTTTCAAAACTTTGGTTTATAAATATTTTTTCTTGACCTTTCCCGGTCTGAAATTCCAACTGCGTTCATCTAATCCCCTTTTCTCCTGTTTCACAATTTGGCTGTGTTTCCGCCGCACGCTTGAATCTTAGCTCCCCGCTTCTCTCGTTCACGTCTTTTCCGCCGGGCGGCGTCGCCTCCCTCGGAGTTGCGAATAGCCAACCCGCCGCCTGAGAAGGCTCTTCTTCCAATAATTGTTCGTTGCTAATTAAGACGAACTTCAAATGACGTTTGAAAGTACGGCTTCTGGGTACCGTCATCTTGTTGCTGGTGTGGGCAGATCGTTGACAGTCAAGCATTGCTGAAGCCGTGGGTACGCCTCAGCAACGCTTGACTATCAGACGACCTACCCACACCAGCAGCAAGATGGCAGCGCCCAGAGGCTGTACTCGCATACATCTATGGGCGGTCGGACGCGAGATATAAATCCTGATTACCCCGTAGAGGTAGCTGTCCCAAACTGTCACAACGTCGAGAACCACGTCCAGGGACACGATGGCGAGCGTGGACTCCGAGATGCTAGTCCAGAAGTGGAGCACGAGGTCTCTGACCTGTATACACATTTCACCAGTTGTTGTCACTGACAGAAACGCAAGGCGTGGCGAGTCTACGCATGCGCAGAAAGCGGATTCGCGTGAGAGGATCTGCGCACGCGCAATGCCGACAGCAGCGCATCACCGTGCTGGCGTGACGTCAAATTGCTGAATTGGTGTATAGTATATACTTCGCCGTCTTTGGCAATTCTACGCAGGTCGTTGAAAACATCGTGCAAGCAAGGACAAGCAATGAAACACCTACGGCTTCGAAGTTGGCGGCGACCACGGCGTCCAGGAGACTGCAGCAGTGGGCCCGGTACATGGCCAGAAAGCTGTCCAGCTGTAAGTGACATTAATGCTAATGCATCATGTAAAAAAGGCAGTTTGTAGACACTGTCCGTTGCGTGTTTTATTTTTCCTGCCCTGTCCCTTTTTTTAACCATACAAAACAAAATAACTGTCTTTAGACATCTTCGAAGCATACGTATGTATATAGGACAAACATACGTAAGGCGTGTCTGCGTGTAATTCGCTCATCATAACTGTGGGGAGGGGGGGGGGGGGGGCGGCGTTGAAATAGGAGAGTGATAGAAAGAGAGAGATGACGTAAACGATGGAAGAAACACGCACTGCGCATCGGGAACCAATCAGCCTGTTTCCGATGCTACGCCAGGATGATGAAACGTCACGCCTTATACCATGACGAAGAGCGACATCGACGAAAACGAAAACCTAACAAAACCATGTACTTTCATTTCATTTCATTTCGTTTATTTCACCTCAAAGGCCCAGTTAGGGCATTACATAAGGTAATGCGATCCTGACATCACACATGACGGTGCCATGGGAGCTTTATATGTACCTTACTGATGTGGTAAATGTCAAATATACCTTATCTTTGTCGATATATTCCGGGATTCGGAGGTCTTGGGGTTCGGGCCAGAAGTTCCACCCGTGACGTTTGCCGCGCTGCATCCAGGATTTCCTTTCGACGTTATGCTACAGCGGAACGATGGAAGTACCTTGTTTGGACGAGTTTCTGTTTCGTTTGCGACGAAGCAGTAATCGCAACAGTTGCACCTCAGAATGCCGATCAATACATGGCTTGTCCGCGACGTTATCGCATCATGCCGGTGGTCATTTTTACGGTAACCGGACAAAAGCTCACCCGACAGAAGCTCACCGGACAAAAGCTCACCGGACAAAAGCTCACCCGTTTTTTCACACACCCGGACAAATGCTCACCTATTCTTTTTTTTTTTTTTTTTTTTTGCTATCCGGGTGAAACACGGGCCGCTATAAAGTGCGAACGCGATGGAAATTGCACAATTTTTAGGAGAACTGGTACCACCCCATCCCATGCAAAGGTGTCGACAGATAAGCCATAACAGGCAGAGGAGCAACGATTTGGGACCAAAAAAGCGAAGTCACCCTTCGGTAACCGCGCTTTTTCATTGTGCTTATGTCAAGCTAGACGTGCTTATAATAGTTAGGCACAATGTCTCTTCATTACTAATTCATGGGTTTTCTTAGGGTTCAGGGTAATGTTTGAAGCGCATGGCTAAGAAAATTAAATTGTATCCATCATTTTACGTCGTAAATATATTCGAAATAAATTATTATGTCAGTGTGATGTGAAAGGGAAACTGAAGCAAAACTGTAATATACAAACCTTTGAGTTGCGAATTGGGCCTTTTGGACAAGTGCGAGACAGATGACCAATTTAGAAAGCTGTGCGGGATTTTGGATAGGCTGGTGTTGTTTCCACCACAGCTTGTGCCCGAAGAACTAACCTACATCAGGGAAAAGTCTATCGGTGGCATCGGTGACCTGCTAAAGTACTTTGATTGCACGTATGTCAACGGCCCCTTCCGTTATGCTTCTGCTCCTTCTGCGTCGGCACCCAGGGGGAGTTCTCCCCTTTGCCTGACTTTGCGCCGACGACGACCGGAGTTTCCCCCGGAGCGGAGGAATATAGTAATAATAATAATAATCTTTATTTCCATTTAAAGAAATGGTGGAGCGAAAGGGGAAAAGCTTCATCAAGAAGCTTGACTGGCCCTCAGCCCCATCGGCAGCCAGTGAACAAACAGTTTTCGTTCAATGAGAAAAAAAAAAAGAAAATCATACAGAAACTTATACATTATAAAGTGGGATAACAGAAACAAGACACAGAACACTTAAATATGTAAAAATATATTACGCAACTCTTTAGGAAATATCGTTTCTATATGTCTATTTTCTTCTTGAAAGTGGTTTAGAAGCTTTGGAATTAAATACCGAAGCATTTGTTGCCCATAATTTGACCTGCATGTGGAAACCTTCTAATATTCATTTTGGCCGGTCAAGTAAACCGTATTATTTTTTTCTAATGTAACTATCTCGTTTAAAAGGACACTTTCTTTTTTTTAAATTTCATTCTTAATGGTGAGTAGAATTCTATAATCAGACAGCTTATGAATTTTTAATATTTGCACGTTCCTAAACATTATCTCAGTGTGAGAGTCATAAGGCGCGTTAAAAATAACTCTTAACATTTTTTTTTTTTTTAAGCAGATAAACTTTGTTTAGGTTGGATGCCGCTGTTGTGCCCCAGACAAGGTTACAATAACTGAGGAGTGAGTAAAACAGTGCATGGTAAATAATTAATTTCACGCGAACTGGTAGAAATTGGCTGTGGCGATACGTTAAGCCAACAACACCTGACAATTAGGAAACCAAATAATTTACATGGCTATCCCATGACATATTTTCAACGCGACGCCACTCTTCAAGATAAAGACCGGACGAGCAACACCTAAAAGGATGGAATAACGGGTTCCAGAAGCTTGTCGCCCACGCCCATCCAAGCGTCTGAAGGCTGATTGAATGCCTACAGAAAAATCAGGCACTCGTTGCCACGGCACTCACACAAGCCCGGAGAGGTAAGCCTCTAGGGAAGCGTTTGCGAAAAACAACTCTGCGCCCGCAGAATCACCTGAAAAAATATTTGCGAGGAGTTCCAGGTATACACCGAGATCTACCGAGACTGCTGCAGCTAGTGGTGGACTTCATTCGAATTCTAACCAATCGATAAATAAACTTGTTTCTACTCTAATCAACAAACCATGGACCTGTCGAATTTAATTTATCGTTGCATTTTAGTGTCGCACGCATGAACCTCAGTTGTCCGCACTCGTCTTAAGACCAACATAACATTTTCTCCAGGTGAGCTTTTGTCCGGGTTTGTGAAAAAAATGGGTGAGATTTTGTCCGGTGAGCTTTTGTCCGGTGAGCTTCTGTCCGGCGAGCTTTTTTCCGGTGAGCTTTTGTCCGGGATTCCATTTTTACTGGTACTTGCCGAGAAAAGCACATTCGATGGTGCGAAATGCATTCCGCAGAAAATACGCCCTTTGCCTATACTCAACCAGAATGGCTGCCGATATGATGTCAATGCAAGTCATGTATTGCCTCCATTTTAAACCTACCTCGGTTCGCTTGATTTTCTGACCCGAGAATCTGCAGGAAACGAAAGTGCGTTCTTCTTAGCAGAATGTTTACACTCAAATTTTCACTTTTACGAAGCGCCGGGAATCTTGCCTCGTAATGTTTTTCCCACAGTAGGCCTGGCCGTAGTAGATGGACGTCGTTTTTACGCCGATGCCGTAGTAGTGGTACCTTGAACCGAGAGAGCATAAAAAAGAAAACTTGATGTTTATCAGTGATTGCGCAGTTCTAACAACACGGCTTTCGAAATGAGACTTCTCTCAGTGGCGAAAGCGAAGAAAGGTGTTCTTTTTAGGTCAAATCGGAACGTAACAGTAGAAAAATCTACAATGAAGAAGAGAGAAAAAATGTCGCTTGGCTTACCTTGACTGACCCCTAGTCCCCAGTCTTCGTGTCGTGACTTTGGGAAACCTCAGTCGAATCAACTGAAATCCGTACGAGTAGGAACAAGATTACGTGCAAAGTAGTACATACACTCTAAAAACGAAACAAAAAAAGGGTACCCCTAGTCCGATGACTTCAGTTCGACGAACAGCGCACTGACTTCGAACCGACGGTACAAGTTTTCACAGGCGTCTTGAAGGCTGAGTGGTATAACTTATCAAAATAGCTAATGTGCGTGTTACTTAATACAAAAAAAAGATATATATATATATATATAATCGGGTTTTTCTTGGCCTTGCTGCAAAACCTCAATGCTCCTTTTTTTTTTAGTCTTCGATACGTATTTTAGCTGTTTAATAAGTTATATCGCACCGTTATCAAGCCCCTCGTAGATGCTGAGGATGTCTGTTCGTCGTAAGTGCGCTGTACGTTGAAATGAAGTTTTTGGGGTGCATTACGTGGGACAAAAGGGTGTAAAACGACACCCTTTCTTTTTAGAGTGTACAATCTCTTTCGCGCTCTAGAAAGCGTTTTTCACGGTACATTTTCTTTTAAAATTATGTCGCGCCCTTCTAAAGCCTTTGAGACAACAAAAATGTATTGACGGCTGCAGTGGTTGTATGGAAGAGCGCGTGATTTCGGTATGCCCATGTACAGAACATCACACAAGTTGTACACCGGCCTGGATGTGCTAATTGTCATTCACGGAGGTTTGCGGCAACTCTATGGTTTCCTCTACCGGATTTTTTGTTGCGTGGTTCAAAAGTATGGGCTATACTCTACTTTAATCAAGTCCATTATGGTACGTTGCAAGAAGGGAAAAAGAAGCCTCCCCCAATTAGCTCTCTACTCGCCATTATTGTTTTTTCCCGCCTTTACCCTTGCCTGCTCCCAGCGTCTCTGTTAAAGTGGAAAGAGCTTTGTAGGAGGAGCTTCTTTTGCTATTCTTAACCTGCAACGAACTATAGTAAGGCTTGTGATGTGAATAAACATAAGACCTTTCCAAATGCAGCAGCTCCCACTGGGTTCCAGTGGTTGCGGCGGCAGTTGTCCAAGTAGTGCTGGTACAGGGTGCATCTCGGTAAACAAACCCCGGGAGCCTGCTCGTAGTTGCTCGACATCCTGCGCAAAAGAACCAGCGCGTTTTTGGTGCTTCCCCTGACCAGGCAGTAATGCCAGCCTCCTACGAAGCGCGAGCTAAAAATAACGAGACATTTTGAGGAGGAAACAAAGATTTCAGCTTGTGCATATCCGACGGCATACAACGGCCCTCTTAGGCCAGACTGTACCATGGATTCTAGGACACTAACAATTGAGCTAAAGTGATTACCACATACCATTCTAATGTGTCCTTGCTCTGAAGACTTTCGACGTCATTCTTGCATTTGGACGATTTAGTCTTCCTGTCACGCGAACCACTCTTCAGACTCATCACCACAAGTATACCAGGGAGGGCAGGTCTTTGCTGAGATGTACTCCCTATAAGCGACTCATATATAACGACCAACGCAGAGCTTAGAGAAACCACGAGGTGTGGACCCGCAAGAGCCCGTATAGAAAGGCGTAGGAGACGGAAATGAGTCCAAGGATTACTTTGTCGGATGACGAGCGGTCCCACCTTTGATGTGTTATCTGGAACCCTTATCGCAGATTGGGGAAACGGTCCATTAAAAAGAATAATGTGTACGTTGCGGCTGTTCGTTTCACCTATAGATGACAAGGGCAGCGTGAACCACAATCCGCTGGCGCGTGGCGTCCTCTTTGTGAACATTTGGATGTCTCAATGTTATGCCAGCATGATTAAAGCAGTAAGTTCGATCGCAAGTGACGCTACGAGCCACCGGAGCTAACCCATAACTTGGAGGGTGTCATGTGAATTTGCGCTCCGCGCGTCGCTCCGCCCTACCGGAAAATCACGTGTTACCCTACGTGCTAAGTATTGGCTCCGGTGGCTTGTAGCGTCCGCTGTGATTCATCCTATGTAAAGGAGCATAGTCCTGTCCTTCAGCATCGAGCGTCTAAAAATCATTGATACATCATACACGTGCATGCCCGGCATAATGCAACAAAATCTTTTCAAGATCCAGTTTTAACTCATTGACAGTCTACGGGTGCATACATTTTCTTCTTTCATTTCCCCGTGCGTAAAATATATCTTTTGGTCTACTCCTCTATTACCCCGTTATTCATAATCCAGACTGACGAGTGTATTCTGGCGCCGACATTTTTAAAATGTGCCGTAAGGCTTAATCCTTTTTTTTTTTTTCTTGTCTTATTACCTTCCAGCCTTCAATATTCAAGCCCGGCTCAAGTTCCTGCCAGTCTGCAAAAAGACCTCAAGACCTTCGGCTGCGTCACCGAATAAACATTAGCGCGTTTGTCCTGCACGTCCGTTTCCACTGGTCTTGTGCATTTGTTTGCAAAAGCTTGTGAGCATTTGCTTCACCTTAGCTCAATCCGGCCCCGATATCCAAGATTGCGCCTATACGAACGAAAGCTATAAAAAAAAAGAAGATACCGTTTCTCTTATATCGCCATCTGCACAAAAGGTCCTCAAGCGCAAGGAATATTCCATTTACCTCGATAGCATCTTTGTTAAAGTATTTCCGTGAATTATAAGTGTCGATGAACGTGGACTGCAATCATTATTGTCACAAGGTGAGTGCACCTGAACAACACTAGAAGACAAACGTGATTAAAAACGCTATAATCTACAGTGCTGAATTAGACAAACAAAAAGATAGGTGAGACGCGTATTTCCAGTTTTCCCCGTAAAGACGCTATCCCAATGAAACAATTAAGTACTAGCATTAAAGGCTAAACCACCATGTTTCAGTTATTCAGTAAAGTTAACTCGTGTTATTCGAAACACTCCCTAGGTGGCGCAAGCCGCCACCTGATCAAGAGTTCAGCTGCGAAAGCCCACTTCCAGAGCGTCCAGCAACCTGCTCACGCCTAACAAACATTTATAATTTCCAGCTCCTCATGAAACCAGCACACGCATGAAACGTCCTTATGAGACCGCTAGATGATTAATATTATAAATATTAACCAATGCACACCTTTATGTAACACCTGCTTACACTATTAATTTCCCGCGACAAGAGCGTTCTGGACACACCAGGGGACCGCTGAAACGAACGACGTCAGTGAAGTGTCACGCCTGGTTTGGCCGTTAGAGATATACAGTGAAGTTGGCCGAAAAAAGTTTTGGCCTTATCAACGCTGATAGGAGGTAAAGAGTTTCCTGATAAGGAGGACATTTTTTCGCTCAGAAGCGGCCTATTTGGGGGCGTACTTCACGAAACCAGAACACGTTAAACCGCCCCTATTAGACCGCAAGATGAATGTTGTAATAAAGTAATCAATTAATGCACCTTTATTAAATTGCTATTCTTATTATATGAATACATTTAACGCGCGCGAGTAGTGCCTTCAAGCAACACCAGGGGACCGCTGTAAGCTGGACGTTAGTGAAGTGACAGACGTCTGGTAGGACAATTAGGGTTAAACAGTGGAAGTTGGCCGAAAAAAGTTTTGGCCTTATCAGCGCTGATAGGAGGCAAAGATTTTCCTGATAATGGGGCCCTTTTTTTCGCTCAGAAGCGATCTATTTGGGGGCGTACTTCACGAAACCAGAACACGTCAAACCGCCCCTATTAGACCGCAAGATGAAAGTTGTAATACAGTAATCAATTAATGCACCTTTATTAAATGGCTCTTGTTATTATGAGTTCATTTAACGCCCGCAAGTAGCGCCTTCAAGCAACACCAGGGGACCGCTGTAAGCACGACGTTAGTGAAGTGACAGACGTCTGGTAGGACAATTAAGGTTAAACAGTGGAAGTTGGCCGAAAAAAGTTTTGGCCTTATCAGCGCTGATAGGAGGCAAAGATTTTCCTGATAATGGGGCCCTTTTTTTGCCCAGAAGCGGTCTATTTGGGGGCGTACTTCACGAAACCAGAACACGTCAAACCGCCCCTAAGAGACCGCAAGATGAATGTTGTAATACAGTAATCAATTAATGCACCTTTATTAAATGGCTCTTGTTATTATGAGTACATTTAACGCCCGCAAGTAGCGCCTTCAAGCAACACCAGGGGACCGCTGTAAGCACGACGTTAGTGAAGTGACAGACGTCTGGTACGAAAATTAGGGTTAAACAGTGGAAGTTGGCCGAACAAAGTTTTGGCCTTATCAGCGCTGATAGGAGGCAAAGATTTTCCTGATAATGGGGCCCTTTTTTTGCTCAGAAGCGGCCTATTTGGGGGCGTACTTCACGAAACCAGAACACGTCAAACCGCCCCTATTAGACCGCAAGATGAATGTTATAACAAAGTAATCAATTAATGCACCTTATTAAATTGCTATTCTTATTATATGAATACATTTAACGCGCGCGAGTAGTGCCTTCAAGCAACACCAGGGGACCGCTGTAAGCACGAGGTTAGTGAAGTGACAGACGTCTGGTAGGACAATTAGGGTTAAACAGTGGAAGTTGGCCGAAAAAAGTTTTGGCCTTATCAGCGCTGATAGGAGGCAAAGATTTTCCTGATAATGGGGCCCTTTTTTTTGCCCAGAAGCGGTCTATTTGGGGGCGTACTTCACGAAACAAGAACACGTCAAACCGCCCCTATTAGACCGCAAGATGAATGTTAAAACAAAGTAATCAATTAATGCACCTTTATTAAATTGCTATTCTTATTATATGAATACATTTGACGCGCGCGAGTAGTGCCTTCAAGCAACACCAGGGGACCGCTGTAAGCACGAGGTTAGTGAAGTGACAGACGTCTGGTAGGACAATTAGGGTTAAACAGTGGAAGTGGGCCGAAAAAAGTTTTGGCCTTATCAGCTGATAGGAGGCAAAGATTTTCCTGATAATGGGGCCCTTTTTTTGCTCAGAACCGGTCTATTTGGGGGCGTACTTCACGAAACGTGAACACGTCAAACCGCCCCTGTTAGACCGCAAGATGAATGTTAAAACAAAGTAATCAATTAATGCACCTTATTAAATTGCTATTCTTATTATATGAATACATTTAACGCGCGCGAGTAGTGCCTTCAAGCAACACCAGGGGACCGCTGTAAGCACGAGGTTAGTGAAGTGACAGACGTCTGGTAGGACAATTAGGGTTAAACAGTGGAAGTTGGCCGAAAAAAGTTTTGGCCTTATCAGCGCTGATAGGAGGCAAAGATTTTCCTGATAATGGGGCCCTTTTTTTTGCCCAGAAGCGGTCTATTTGGGGGCGTACTTCACGAAACAAGAACACGTCAAACCGCCCCTATTAGACCGCAAGATGAATGTTAAAACAAAGTAATCAATTAATGCACCTTTATTAAATTGCTATTCTTATTATATGAATACATTTGACGCGCGCGAGTAGTGCCTTCAAGCAACACCAGGGGACCGCTGTAAGCACGAGGTTAGTGAAGTGACAGACGTCTGGTAGGACAATTAGGGTTAAACAGTGGAAGTGGGCCGAAAAAAGTTTTGGCCTTATCAGCTGATAGGAGGCAAAGATTTTCCTGATAATGGGGCCCTTTTTTTGCTCAGAACCGGTCTATTTGGGGGCGTACTTCACGAAACGTGAACACGTCAAACCGCCCCTGTTAGACCGCAAGATGAATGTTAAAACAAAGTAATCAATTAATGCACCTTATTAAATTGCTATTCTTATTATATGAATACATTTGACGCGCGCGAGTAGTGCCTTCAAGCAACACCAGGGGACCGCTGTAAGCACGAGGTTAGTGAAGTGACAGACGTCTGGTAGGACAATTAGGGTTAAACAGTGGAAGTGGGCCGAAAAAAGTTTTGGCCTTATCAGCTGATAGGAGGCAAAGATTTTCCTGATAATGGGGCCCTTTTTTTGCTCAGAACCGGTCTATTTGGGGGCGTACTTCACGAAACGTGAACACGTCAAACCGCCCCTGTTAGACCGCAAGATGAATGTTAAAACAAAGTAATCAATTAATGCACCTTATTAAATTGCTATTCTTATTATATGGATACATTTAACGCGCGCGAGTAGTGCCTTCAAGCAACACAAGGGGACCGCTGTAAGCACGACGTTAGTGAAGTGACAGACGTCTGGTAGGACAATTAGGGTTAAACAGTGGAAGTGGGCCGAAAAAAGTTTTGGCCTTATCAGCGCTGATAGGAGGCAAAGATTTTCCTGATAATGGGGCCCTTTTTTTGCTCAGAACCGGTCTATTTGGGGGCGTACTTCACGAAACGTGAACACGTCAAACCGCCCCTGTTAGACCGCAAGATGAATGTTAAAACAAAGTAATCAATTAATGCACCTTATTAAATTGCTATTCTTATTATATGGATACATTTAACGCGCGCGAGTAGTGCCTTCAAGCAACACAAGGGGACCGCTGTAAGCACGACGTTAGTGAAGTGACAGACGTCTGGTAGGACAA